CCACATAGTGAGTGTGTCGGTGTATGTCGGCCACTAGTGAGTGTGTCGGTGTGTGTGTGGCCACTAGTGAGTGTGTCGGTGTATGTGTTGGCCACTAGTGAGTGTGTCGGTGTGTGTGTCGGCCACTAGTGAGTGTGTCGGTGAGTGTGTCGGCCACTAGTGAGTGTGTCGGTGTGTGTGTCGGCCACCAGTGAGTGTGTCGGTGTGGTGTCGGCCACTAGTAGTGTGTCGGTGTGTCGGCCACTAGTGAGTGTGTCGGTGTGTGTGTCGGCCACCAGTGAGTGTGTCGGTGTGTGTTCGGCCACTAGTGAGTGTGTCGGTGTGTGTGTCGGCCACTAGGAGGTGTGTCGGTGAGTGTGTCGGCCACCTAGTGAGTGTGTCGGTGTGTGTGTCGGCCACTAGTGAGGTGTCGGTGTGTGTGGCCACTAGTGAGTGTGTCGGTGTGTGTCGGCACTAGTGAGTGTGTCGGTGTATGTGTCGGCCACTAGTGAGTGTGTCGGTGTATGTGTCGGCCACTAGTGAGTGTGTGTCGGTATGTGTCGGCCACTAGTGAGTGTCTCAGGTGTGTGTCGGCCACTAGTGAGTGTGTCGGTGAGTGTGTCGGCCACTAGTGAGTGTGTCGGCACGGCCAATAGTGTCACCTCCCGCAACTTCCTCTAGTGAGCTATCTGGCTTACAATGTTATACTTGTGCAAGATTTTAACCTCATAATCTAAGTTTTTCACCATCAAGCAATCAGCACTTACAAGGTCTTGCCATTTTTACCACAGATAACCTTTTATTTTATATTTACATTAATATATAAGAAAAAACTGTATCAAATCTATCGATTATCTTTTGTTATTTATCATTACTTAACAGTGACTAAACACCCCACAGTGTATCGAGAACACAGTTGAGATCATTTATGCGAGATATTTCATATGCCTCACTGGCAACCTCTGAGTGACAGTATAAAGAAGCGGGCGGACGCTTCGTCAGTCATACCACGAACAGCGCCTCTCTGGTGAATATCTGAAGACACAACTTGACCTCAACTTTAATTAACCTCGACCAGCGGAATTTGTTTTGTACTTAATCAGTGCAATACATAAGGAGGAGTTAGTTCAATTCACCTCAAGAATATATACTGTCCAGTTACACATTTTGTTAAGTGATCTTGGGCAGCTGACCCGAGGAGCAGCCCAGATTTAATGTGCGTGTCAAGTAAGTAACGTGGCTGCCATGACCGTGGCAGAGGTAAGCACCACACTGACGGAGAGCCCCGACAAGACCAACGTGTACCGCTCTCGCTTCCACTCGATTTGAGTTCCGCCCCCAGAGATGCAACCAGATCCTTCGCCGGGTTCAGCATGTTTCCTCCTCCACCAACGCCTCACCAACCAAGAGCTGGAGAAACTGGTGGACCACGGAAGAGGGAGCCACCAAGGTGACCAAGGCGCAGATCAAGAATACGGCAAGAAGTACAAACACTTCCAGGCAACGAGAAGGACAATGCCCTTGGTACAGGTAAGCGCTTTTTTGTCGGACGTAACGTGTGTAGCAGTCATGACTTACGCATAAATATGGCGTCTGAGACTCTAGCCTAGACACTCACACAGATTCATTAGTGGATGATAACTATTTAAATCATTGTTGGGTATGTCAAGTTTCTTCCACCTCATCGTACTAAACACATACACACACACACACACACACACACACCACACACACACATACACACCACACCACATACACACACACCACACAGACACACACACACCACACACACACACACACACCACACACACACACACACACCACACACACACACACACACCACACATACACACCACACACCACACACACACCACATACACACACACCACACAGACACACACACCACACACACACACACACACACACCACACACACACCACACACCACACACACACACACACACACCACACACCACACACAGTCGTATTAGCGAGTAACTAGGGCAGTTGAGGTACAGATGATGCTGATGGTTCACCAAATACTGCCCTCAACCACACCACCGGAACAAATAATGCAGTGTGAGCAACACCCTCCCATACAGTATACAAGGCGGCAGTGTGAGCACAACACCCCATACAGTATACAAGGCAGGGTGAGCAACCCCATACAGTATACAAGCCAGTGTGAGCACAACGCCCTCCCATACAGTATACAAGGCGGCAGTGTGAGCACAACACTCCCATACAGTATACAAGGCAGTGTGAGCACACCGCCCCATACAGTATACAAGGCGGTGTGAGCACAACACCTCCCATACAGTATACAAGGCAGAGTGAGCACAACACCCCCCATACAATATACAAGGCGGCAGTGTGGTAGCCCCTCCCATACAGTATACAAGGCGGCAGTGTGAGCACAACGCCTCCCATACAGTATACAAGGCGGTGGCTGAACAACACCTCCCATACAGTATAAGGGTGTGAGCACAACACCCTATATATACAAGGGCAGTGTGAGTACACACCTCCCCATACAGTATACAAGACGGCAGTGTGAGCACAACACCCCCATACAGTATACAAGCCGGCAGTGTGGAGCACAACACCTCCCATAGTACAAGGCGGAGTGTGAGCACAACACTTCCCATACAGTATACAAGGCGGCAGTGAGCACAACACCCCCCATACAGTATACAAGACGGCAGTGTGAGCACAACACTCCCACACAGTATACAAGGCGGCAGTGTGAGCACAACACCTCCCCATACAGTATACAAGGCGGCAGTGTGAGCACAACACCTCCCACAGTATACAAGGCGGCACTGTGAGCACAACACCTCCCCATACAGTACAAGGCGCAGTGAGCACAACACCTCCCATACAGTATACAGGCAGTGTGAGCACAACACCTCCCATACAGTATACAAGGCGGCACTGTGAGCACAACACCTCCCATACAGTATACAAGGCGGCAGTGTGAGCACAACACCTCCCCATACAGTATACAAGGCGGCAGGGAGCACATCACCTCCCATACAGTATAAGGCATCAGAGCACAACGCTCCCATACAGTATACAAGGCGGCAGTGTGAGCACAACACCCTCCCATACAGTATACAAGGCGGCAGTGTGAGCACATCACCCTCCCATACAGTATACAAGGCGGCAGTGTGAGCACAACGCCCTCCCATACAGTATACAAGGCGGCAGTGTGAGCACAACACTCCCCCCATACAGTATACAAGGCAGTGTGAGCACAACACCCTCCCATACAGTATACAAGGCAGTGAGCTGGTACTTCTTCACAGCAAAAGTAAAGCTTTAAAAACAAATTCTCCTGAAAACAAAGGAAGTATAACAGAGTATTAAGCATAATAAAATAATAGGCCTCTGCCTTGAGTACTGACCAGTAAGACTTCCTGGTACGTATTATTAAACTTAATAGGAAATAAAACCTGAATTAAGCAGCCAGGTTAATGCTACTAGTAAATATAATAATTTACATAACCTGTATTTACCTCCACCAGTGTTATTAACTCTTATAAGGTGATGTGTTTTGTTGTAGAGGTGTGTGTTGTAGAGGTGTGTGTTGTAGAGGTGTGTGTGTTGTAGAGGTGTGTGTTGTAGAGGTGTGTGTGTTGTAGAGGTGTGTGTTGTAGTTGTAGAGGTGTGTGTTGTAGAGGTGTGTGTTTGTAGAGGTGTGTTACTGTCTTGAGAGGTGTGTTACTGTCTTGTAGAAGTGTGTTGTGTTGTTTACTGTTTTTTTTTTCGAGGTTTACAGTATTACGTATTACCCAGGTCCTGAGTTTAGTCAATTCAGTACACGGAGCAATAATACAAAGAGAGAGAGAGAGAGAGAGAGAGAGAGAGAGAGAGAGAGGAGAGAGAGAGAGAGAGAGAGAGAGTGTTTATTCTTAACACTGTAATGTTTTAACACCACTAAACACAGCCAAAAGTATTTTAACATTTATGAATCTTATTCGTTGTTTTGTGATATTTTATGACTATTATTGTTTATTAATGAATTATAGACAAAATTACATCGGGATTTATTTAACTAATCTTTAATATTATTCTATGTCTCAAATGATTATTATAATATGTATAATCGGTATTTAATCTTCAGTAAACTAAAATAAAGTTTAGTCATTTGTGTATTAAAACAAAAACAAAAAATATTCTTAAATAGATTTACAATGAAACCTTTTTGTTTTTAATTCTTGTAACTAAAAACACAAGGTCAGCAACAGTTGTGCAATATGTTGTGGTTTTTTGCAATGACCAGACCTTCAAGTGACCTTATGTCGAGCGGCCACTTCACTGAGCCAGACAGTAATAACAATGTTGTGATGAAATAATAACTAGAATCTTGAGGACTAGTTCTGAAACATCTCATTTTTGTGTGTGGACCACCAGAGCTTTGTTGGAGCACACGCAGCCTGCACATTTCATCACAATAGTGGCGGTGGTGTATCTCGGCTTCAGGCTGTTCCCCGATTCCTGCAGGCATACTACTTGAGGCCTCCACACTAACTAGGTTTATATCGCCGCCGTCAGTACCGTCTTCGGCAGTCAGATGTGGATGACTTTTGTGTTAGGTGAGTCGAGTTGGTCAGAGAAGGTGGTCGTGTTGTTGGCTGATGTCGGATTCACTGCATTCAAGTTTGTGACCAGCTGATATGGATTTAAATTTATATCACTATTTCGACTTGCTTATATATAAATACTGTACCTCAAAAGAGAAAATCCTCTTAAACAAAACTTAAGAAACTCAAGTGCAATACGATTGATTAATACACTACCTGTTCCATCTCTTCCTCATTTACCCTCCCCAAAAATGGTTTCATAAGTTTTAGAAGTTGTTGTCAAGTATACTTATTAAAATGCAGTGGAAGGTGCTCAAAGATCCCTGCAGGATATGGTAGCACCTGCATACACCGCCACAACATCCAGATTCACCTGTGTTCCTCATCTTCCCCACCCAGGTCTTGCCTCTTCCCTCCGTCCCCGACACGTGTTCGCGCAGGCAACAGGTGCTCTTCCCGCTCTACTTTTTTGCAGCAACGCGGCTCTGATGTTGGTGGCTGTGGTGATGTACACACAACACCACCCAACACACCTGTGGGACACTCACCAGATGATGCAGGTAAGACACTGATATAGTGCCCAGGTGTGATGATGACACCTGTTTGTACTAAAACCACACTGGAATTGAAAGTTGTGCGTTACAATTACAAATTATAAAGACATTCACTCAATTTCTTAGATACACGCGTCATTATGCTAAACTCCACACTGAATGGTATGTGCTTTAGTATTGATTTATCCATAAGCTCCTAGGTTTATAGAGAGTTTCACGAGAAGCAGCAGCCTATAAACTTCACCATACCGTTACACTAAAGAATGTCGTGTTTGTTCCTGCGTCAGAATGCCACAATATATTTTCCATATTTAATGTCGTTTAAGAAATACTGTACCGTGAAGGTAACTTGAAACAGAACCAAAACTCAGACTCCTCGTTAGCTATATTTGTTCTCGTTACAGTTATTCTCGTTACAGTCTCGTTATGAATTATTGACTTACTTTTAGCTATAATCTTTTCGTCTCTGGTTTTATAGATGACAGCGAGGTACACATACACATACACACACACACACACACACACACACACACACACACACACACATCGAGTTATAATTGTATGTGTGTGTGTGTGTGTGTGTATAAAGGGAACCCTACGTGATAAAGCGCGCGTCAGGTTAGTCACTATTGCTCTTGCCCTTCACTCTTCCATCGACAGCCGCTGCTCTCACCAGCCTCTGAGTGAAAAAAAAGATCGTCCTCGACAGGTTTAGTCGCTCTCTCTCTCTCTCTCTCTCTCTCTCTCTCTCTCTCTTTCTCCGAGTCTGGCGAGGTGGCTACACAGTTCCGGTTCATTGTTATGGAACAGTCAATCAATGTGTCTCCTCCAGATGTTTCTTATCCTCCTCACCATACCCCGGAACAGTGCTCGAGGGCAGCTACTCTAGTCTTTTAAACTTGAGAAGCAGATTTTTAATTTTTTTAACTTTTGGTGTTTTATGTGATAATAATAATAATAATAAAAGTATATAATAATAATAAAGATATACATTACACAGTGCAAATAAATAATCAATGTACATAATGTAAGTATACAAGAATGCAAGAGACAGTGCAGGGATACAAACAATATTGTACACACCCAATGAAGTACAGTATCTCCAAGATGTATCTGCAACTCCTGATGTCAGGAGGGTTGGTATGCCTGGCTCTATGGCGTACTGATCCTACTACATTTGATAACTAAACAATGCATACTTATGTTAAACTATATTTCAAGTGAATACATGTACCGAATATGTATCACCCGTGGCCTCATAATGTTTCATACAGTGTTGTGGACAGATACTTTTGAGATACTTTACATAATGTCTTCAGGGACAGATAGAGAGAATCTTACCCTCATTACTCCAGCTTATGATAACAACAAAATTGTAGCCTATAAGGTACATTGATTATGAATACAGCACCCGAAACAAGGGCTCGTGGCAGGAGTGTTCTAAAGATTCTCACACGATGAACCTTTTCTTCACTTATTATACAACGAACTTTTTATAAATGTATAAAAGCAAGATTTTGTGACGTAGAGCAGATAGTGTGTTTGTTTTTGCTGGTAAAAGAAATTCCTTTGTAAATCTAGCCAGATGTTGGTAGTGAAGTTGCTAGTGGTGGTGGTAGTGACGAGGGTTGGTTGGTCGTGGTGGTAGTGGTGGTGAGGGTGTTGGTGGTGAGGGTGTTGTGGTGGTGGTGGTGGTGGTGTGTGGGTGTTGGTGGTGGTAGTGGTAGTAATGGTGGTAGTGGTGATGACGGTGTTAGTGGTAGTAGTAGTAATGGTGGCAGATAAGATGGTAATTTAAAAGGTGGCAGTAGTAGTTGTGGTAGTTGTGGTGATAGTGGGGTAACGGTGACGAGGATTGGTAGTGGTGGCAGGGGGTATTGAGTAGTAGTGATGGTGGCAGCAGTAGGGAGGGAAGAAAGCGTCGAGTGAGAAGGAAGAACTCCTTTTAAAACCTCAAAATACCATCAGACTTGTGGCAGACGGAGAGAGCGCGTGTCACTAGCCAGGTGTGAGGCGGGAAGAGGCGACCAAGTTGTTTACTGGTGTGAAGGAAGGAAGAATCGTCTCTCTCTAATGACGCGAACAAAAGATTAGAGGGGGCATTACTGAGAGAGAGAGAGAGAGATGCACAAACAGGAAAACAGACAATAAGAGGGGGGGGTGGGGTAGTAGGAGGGAGGAGGAGTGTGAGAAGCAGGAGGGTGAGCGACGGAGGGGGAGGTAGAGAGGATGTCTATTGGAGAGGAAAGATGAAGGAGAGTCGTTACTGTGGGAGCTGGCTGTGTGAGGCTAGGGGGCAATGGGAGGGCTGGGGGCTGTGTGAGGGCTAGGGGCTGTGTGAGGGGCTAGAGGCTGTGTGAGGGGCTAGGGGCTGTGTGGGGACTATGGGCTGTGTGAGGGACTATGGGCTGTGTGAGGCTGGGGCTGTGTAAGGGCTAGGGGTTGTGCAAGGCTAGGGGGGCTGTATGAGGGCTAGGGGCTGTGTGGGCTAGGGGTTGTGTGAGGGCTAGGGGCTGTGTGTGAGGGCGGCTAGGGGCTGTGTGAGCTAGGGGCTGTGTGGGGCTGTGGGCTGTGTGAGGGCTAGGGGCTTGTAGGGGCTAGGGGTTGTGTGAAGGCTAGGGGCTGTATGAGGCTAGGGGCTGTGTGAGGGGGATGGGGACTGTGTGAGGTTAGGGACTGTGGGGCTAGGGGCTGTGTGTGGGCTGGGGACTGTGAGCGTCTAGGGACTGTGTGGAGGGTAGGAGGCTGTGTGAGGGCGAGGACTGTGTGGGGCTGGGGGGTGTGTGTGGGATGGGCTGTGTGGGGCTGGGGCTGTGTGAGAGCTAGGGACTGTGTGAGGCTAGGGACTGTGTGGGGCTAGGGACTGTGTGAGGGCTAGGGGCTGTGTGAGGGCTAGGGGATGTGTGAGGGCTAGGGGCTGTGTGAGGGCTGGGAACTGTGTGAAGGCTAGGGACTGTGTGAGGCTGGGGGCGTGTGAGGGCGAGGGACTGTGTGAGGCTAGGGACTGTGTGAGGGCTAGGGGCTGTGTGTGGGGCAGGGACTGTGTGAGCTAGGGGCTGTGTGAGGGCTAGGAACTGTGTGAAAGCTAGGGGATGTGTGAGGGCAGGGACTGTGTGGCTAGGGGCTGTGTGAGGGCTAGGGACTGTGTGAGGGCTGGGGACTGTGTGATGGCTAGGGGCTTGGGGGCTAGGGGCTGTGTGATGGCTAGGGACTGTGTGAGGGCTAGGGGCTGTGTGAGGGCTAGGGGCTGTGTGAGCTAGGGACTGTGTGTGGAGGCTGGGGGCTGTGTGAGAGCTAGGGACTGTGTGTGATGGTGCAGACGATATTTTATAATCTTCCTGAAATATCTCAAAGCTTGTTTTGGAGAGGTCATTTTCGAGTATATATTGTATGGGTACACACACACACACACAGTGCAACCATACATACGTAAACAATATCATGCCTTTGCACAAGTATATTCTCACACAAATATACATAGAGAGAAGTACCGTCATCCTGTGATCTGAATGGCCGTGTCCCCTTTGCATACATTAAGAGTGACACGGACATTACGATGATTCAACACGTGTCCTTCAGTTTCTCAATCGGTGATAACATAGCCGACCAGTACTGTGTTATCACTGTATTTGGAAGAAGTTTTACCTTATAACATTATCGTCTTGTTTCATATGCTGTTTGTGACCTGGAATTAACAGTCTCATTAATCACATACAAAGGCAAACAAAACGTCACAAACAACTCTTGACATTAAGCACACCCCCCCTCCTCCTCCTCCCCCACCCCCCTCTCCTCCCCCCCCTCTTCCTCCTCCACCCCCTCTTCCTCCCCACTCCCTCCTCCTCCACAGCCCTTCCTCCTTCCCAACTGTCTACTAATTCTTTGTTTATTAAATCGTCAAGACTTCTAGTTCTTATTATTATATTCATATTCACTGTCGTCCATCGAGTGTGAGTCGTCCTTGGTTTAATATTGTCAAAGTGAGCACCAAGACCTGTGTTATTACTCTATGGTTACGATAAATCAAACGTAACTATTTATTCTGTTTATTATCATCTGTCAGGTCTTATAGAGATATATTAAATACCGGAATATTTTATATATTTTGATGGAAAAAGTTAAATGTATTTTTTCGTAGTCTTCTGTAGATCCAGATGCCTTAATAACGTGGCTGATGGTCACACAAACAACTCTCTCAGTACCCCCATGTCACCCATAGCAGTACTATATTGTATGGAACCAATTTGTGGAGTCGACAGAAGAGTCTGATATTAACATCTCGCTTATACTTTAGCCTTTATAGCACGTAAAGGTGATGTCTCGAGTACTTTTGTTCAAACGACGCCTTACCATTTTAACCACTAATTATGCCTAAACTATCAAAGGTACAGAAACTACATATATTGATAAAGAATATAAGTTCGTTATGAGGCTCTGTTGTGGCTGTGCAGAGATCATACTGGTGTTGTGTTTCGCCACATTTTGTACTAAATCTTATTGCGCACTTCTGACAACATGCATTCAGAACAAGGCACTGTGCCAATGGTGATCATTCGTTGTTTCAGGGCATCTTGTGTGTGTGTGTGTGTGTGTGTGTGTGTGTGTGTGTGTGTGTGTGTGTGTGTGTGTGTACAGCAGTTTGTTGCAATCTTGATTTTCTTTATGCCTCACTCTACGTTTAGCAGCCTTTAACATATACAGGTTTTTAGGTGCTAATTATCGCCCGCGATCCTTGAACCAAATCTTTATTTATGACAACTTTGAACACCTGTTGGTTTTTGATCCAAGCAGTTGTTTCATACTCTGAACACTCATGAAGCAGAGTTGTCTCACACTCTGGTGAGTCACACCCCTGGAGGTTGGGTTTGAGTGAGTCACACCTCGGGTTGGTATGGGTGGTCACATCAGGAGGTTGAGTGGAGTCACACCCAAGAGGTTGAGTATAGTGAGTCACACCCAGGAGGCTGTGTTTAAGTCACGCCCAGGAGTTTGCTTGAGTCACACCCAGGAGGCTGGTATGGTGAGTCACACCCCAGGAGGCTGAGTATGGTGAGTCACACCCCAGGAGGTTGAGTGAGTCACACCCCCAAGAGGTGGTATGGTGAGTCACCCCAGGAGGCTGTGTTTGTAAGTCACTTAGGAGGCTGAGTATGGGTGGTCACATCCCAGGAGGTTGAGGAGTCCACCCCAGAGGGGAGTATGGTGAGTCCAGGAGGCTGTGTTTGAAGTCACGCCCCAGGAGGCTGATGTGGTGGGTCCCACCCAGGAGGCTGGTGTGGTGGTCACACCCAGGAGGCAGTATGAGTGAGCCACACCCAGGCTGAGGTATGGGTGAGTCACACCCCAGGTGGCTGATTGTGGTGAGTCACCCCAGGTGTGAGTATGGTGGAGTCACACCCAGGAGGCTGAGTATGGTGAGTCACCCCAGGAGGCTGGTGTAGGTGAGTCACACCCCAGGAGGCTGAGTATGAGTGGAGTCACACCCCAGGAGGCTGGGTTGATGGTCACAGAGCCAGTATGAGTCAACACACTGTCGTCAGGTATCACTCATTGGGGGAACACCTCAGAGCTGTCAACAACTAATACTCTCCTCCCTCCCACGGACACACACACCCTCACCACCCAGGGACACCCGCTCCCCCCAGGACACACCTCACCACCCAGGACATACACCGCTCTGCAGGACACCCTCACACAGGGGCACCCCCCAGGACACCTCACCACCAGGACACACACACACCCCTCACCACGGTCCACTCCCTGCAGGACACACCTCTCCCCAGGAACTCTCTCACCACCAGGACACACACCTCTCCTCCCCAGGACACACACACCCCCTCACCACCAGGTCCCACAATCTCTCACCACAGGACACACTCTCCTCAGGACCCCCACACCCCCTCACCACCAGGACACGCACACTCTCCTCACCACCCCACACCACCTCACCACCCAGGTCCCTCTCTCTACCGGACACACACTCCTCACCACGAGACCACACATCCCTTCACCACCCAGGTCACCCTCCTCTACCCCCGGGACACCACTCCCTCACCACAGGACACACATCCATCCCCAGGTCCACACTCCCCTCACCACCTGAGACACACACCTCTCTCTCCAGGATACACTCTCTCACCCCCAGGACACACACCTCCTCACCCAGGACACACTCTCTCACCACCGGGGACACACCCCCTCACCACCCAGGACACCCCCTCACCACCCAGGACACAAACACACTCTCTCCACCACCCAACACACCCCTCACCACCAGGTCACACACTCCTCACCCCAGGACACACACTCCCTCACCCAGGACCACCACCACCCAGGACACAAACTCTCTCACCACATGACAGACCACACCCTCACCACCCAGGTCCACACACTCACTACCCGGGACACACACACCCCCTCACCACCCAGGACCACACCCCCTCACCACCTAGGACACACCTCCCTCACCACCTAGGACACACACTCCCTCACCACCAGGACACACACACCTCACCACCCAGGACACACACACTCCCCTAACCACCCAGGTCACACCTCCTCACCACCACATGACACACCCCCCTCACCACCAGGTCACCCACTCCCTCACCAACCAGAACACACACACTCCCTCACCACAGGACATACACGCCTTCACCACAGGACACACAAACTCTCTCACCACCACTGACAGACACACCCCCCTCACACCCAGGTCACACACCCTCACCACCGGGACCACACACCCCTCACCCACCCAGGACACACCCCCTCACCACCTAGGACACACACCTCTCTCACCACCACAGGACACACACCACCTCACCACCCAGGACACACACTCCCTCACCACCCAGGTCACACACTTCCCACACCAGGACACACACACTCCTTCACCAGGTCACACTTCCTCACCACCAGGACACACACACACTCCCTCACCACCCAGGACACACACTCCCTCACCACCCACACACCACCCAGGACACACCCTCACCCCTCACCATCCAGGACGCACACACCTCACCACAGGGCACACACACCCCTCACCACCCAGGACACACACACCCTCACCACCCAGGTCACACACACTCACCACCCAGGACACACTCTCACCACCAAGGGCACACACCCCGCCACCCAGGACCACAACACCTCACCACCCAGGACACACACTCCCTCACCACACACACTCCCTCACCACCCAGGACACACACCCAGGACACACACACCACACACAGTTTAGCCGGCCTGTCTCACTGCTGTACTGCCAACTTTATTTCACATTTGTCACTGATGAACTGTCAGATTTAAGCCTCACAGTACCTTAAAGCTCTCCCTTGATCAACACTCATTCTTTGATCACACTCGTAGCTGATCAATCACACTTAACTAATGTGTGTGGCGGACGGGTAGGCAGCCACCACGGGGTCAGCTCTAGGGGGCGCTGATGGAGGCCGCACGTTCAACAAACACTTCGATTAACACTAAGGGAGTTTGCTGGCGTCTAGGAGGTGTCGCTAAGTCAAGGAAGATTAATGAGGGATGTGTGTGTGTGTGTGTGTGTGTGTGTGTGTGTGTGTGTGTGTGTGTGTGTGTATGTGTGTGTGTGACATACTGAGGAAGGCTTTTTTATACACTTGCAGCACATCACGTAAATTACCTCACAAGTTGTCTGCTCGCTGCTTCACGACTCTACAGCATCCGACTTAACTAACCTAACCTAACCTAACCTAACCTAACCTAACCTAACCTAACAAGCAAGAGTAAATTCGACTATCTATAATTTTCAGTTAAATCTTTATAATACCGAGGCTTAATATATGCAGTTCAGTAAGGTAATCGAAACAATTGAAATATTGATAATTAATTCGCTTAACCTAACCTAACCTAGGACGTGAAATTTTGGTCTCTGGTAATTGTCTTGTTTTCCCAGTGTGTCTGTCTCTGCTTCTGTCTGTCTATGTCTCTCTCTGTCTCTGTCTATGTCTGTCTGCCTCTCTATCTCTGTCTGCCTCGGTTTCTGTCCTTCTCTCTCTGTCTTTTCTCAGGCGTTGATAATGCCAGTACTGCTGTTGGCAGGTGATAATATACTGTAGACCCAACACCCCTCTTTCTCTATGTTGCAGGGCTGTATCTTGGTGACCTGTTTTCTGGTGAACCTTGGCATCCGTCTCTACCTGACACCTGTCCTCATCAAGCTCATCACCGTCAAGGTAAATGCCTCACCTTTCCTTCATGTTACTATCAGGGGTCACTTACACGACTTATGCTACTATCAGGGGCCACTGTCACTGTCAGACACATCACTTATTATGCTACTGTCTGGGCCACCACTACTTATGTCACACCACCTACACTACCATGTCACTGTATTTATGTCATGGGGGTCAACACTACTTATGTCACTGTCAGGGGCCACCTACACTAGTTATGTTGCTATACGTTGAATTAACCCCTCGAGTACAATGATAACCACTTGAGTACGTTGAACTGATCCATTGAGTACGATATTTTAACCCTTTGAATACGATGACATTATTCAAGTGTTTAATTGTTCTATATATTTGACCTTATTTGTCCCATCACAGATCGCTATTGAGCGTGAGGCGGGTCTTGGGCAGGAGGTGGGGAGCAACAAGCCCGGTCTCCTCTCTCACTGCCCTCACTACATGCGCCTCTACTGCGCCTTCCGCAAGACACACATGATCATCGCTATTGGTAACATGGTGTCTATGGCTGCCACCTCACTCCACCTCTACTATCTGGCCACCAAACTCTGCTCAGTACAGCTGTAAGGACTCCTCACTACCGAGTTCTATATAAGAGAAGAAAATCAAAACTCCGTGAATTTGTATGTTTCAATTACCTGTGCCACTGTGTCCGTACAATACCTGGTACATGTACGATACCGAACTACCCTGTGAGACTGTATACTCTCATGTACACTCCCTCAGGCGTACATGAAATATTCGAGTACTGCGACGTTGGCTGGTCCAAGGCAGCAGACCTCGAGGGGGCCACCAGTCTGGTTTCCCCGATTTAAGAATTGTGTAATTTATTCTCTACCTCTAGACCTACGGCTTGGCCTCGGTGTTATCCTTGGCAGCAGTAACACCGGAAGCCACACCCAGCTGTAGTGTCCTTATACCACTAATATATAAGCTATCAATACTCGTCCTTGCACACTCACCTCACAGTACCAAGATAAGTGTGTGATGTTGGTCTGCCAGAAAGACCAGCTTGGTTTTGTTAGGTTCTGCGGCTTCTTTAATAAATTAGTCTTACGCTTTTTAACTACTTATCAATGTGAGATGTTTATATACTTTACCCATGGTGTGAGTTTTGGTGAGTAAAGAGGTATTAAACTGTTGTGTTGTGTTGATGCTTCATTAATGACAGTTTCCCCGATACAGAACCCGCGTCTCAGCACCTATGTTCTTTGGCGTGGTTCCTGACGCAGAATGACCAACGATATAACTATTGAATATAAGGAGGGGTTGGGGGGGGGGTAGTCTAGTGGTTCAAAGAGGCACGATACTGTATCTTTAAGCTTGTCTCTATAGTAAGTTTTACCCGATAAACACACTGTAACGTCTCCTTTACACACATATACGTACATAGACGCATTGCAACGTATCCTGTACACATAGACGTACATAGACGCATTGCAACGTATCATGTACACATATAGACGTACATAGACACATTGCAACGTCTCCTGTACACACTAGACGTACATAGACACATTCATAGACGCATTGCAACGTATTCTGTACACACCTAGACGTACATAGACACATTGCAACGTCTCCTGTACACACAGACGTACATACTGTAGACACATTGCAACGTATCCTGTACACACATTGACGCATACAGACACAAGACAAGTAGCGGGCCACCACTTGAACCCCCGCCCCCAATGGCAGCAGAGGTGGCCCGTGTGTGTGTGTTTTAGACGGAATATATTAAGTTATTGGGTAAAAGAGGACAGACAGACAGGCAGAGAGATAGACAGATAGATACAGTAGTAATTAATCAACCAAATATGTCATCCATCTCATATTAATTACATGCTTAAACAACTGACAATTAATCAGAGTAACCTAACCTAACCTCACCTAACCTAACTTAACCTAATCCTTGGTCTCGCTCTCAAATTACACAACTTAGGTCCGTCTCTATGTGTTTTCCTTAATTTATCAAGCGTGTGTACGAGTGTATGTGTATAATCTTTACATATGTGTAGTTTAGTAAGTATATAGATAATTGATATATTGCAAGAATAGTAGTTTGTGTACTGTTGTTTTTATGAAATTCGCTTTGTAGGTTATAATGAGGTTTCTTATCTAATGGACCCTCGATATACCGCACTTCCCTCTTCATATAGTACGTTATATGGAGGTTTCACTGTGTGTATAATGTGTTAAAGACATCGGTTATTGAGCAAAATATTCCTTGTTCTAATGTTTGAGTTTCATCGTGTTTACTACTTAGTTTTCTTTAAGCTAGCAGTTTCTTTAGTCTGTTGTTAAGGTACCATGAACTGTTGGGCTAACACTGGTGGTATACACTCAGGTTAACACTGGTGGTATACACTCAGGTTAACACTGGTGGTATACACTCAGGTTAACACTGGTGGTATACACTCAGGTTAACACTGATGGTATACACTCAGGTTAACACTGGTGGTATACACTGGCTGGGTAATTCATGAGATATTACCTTCGTCAGTTGGTTAATTAAGGTTAAAACTTCGGTACTGGTGTTAACTTGAGTGTAGACTGTTAGAGTAAAAAGGTTCAACAGGTGCACAGGTGCCCACAGGTGCCTACAGGTGTTTACAGGTGCCTACAGGTGACACTGAGAACAAGAGAACAAAAAATACAAGTGTAAATGTTCTGATAATGAGCTAAACGCCTCTTTTATTAATGTAACAATCAGATGTCTGTTTTAAGTCATCAAAAGCTCTCAAAAGGCAAAACGTTGGTATTTTCACCATCTTATATATACAGTAGGTAGAAGAGTACAATAATGCAAGATATATCACAAAATGTACCCACGTTACTTCACACGATCACCACCTAAAATCTTTAAGACAATGTGTGTGTATATATATATATTTTTTTTTTGAGACACCCTGTTATATATGGCTAATGATAACTACACTTCACTGTTTACTCAGTTGCTGGGTAATTCTTTCAACTATTTACTGCAGTAGTTCAGTTTGGTTCCATAGGTGTGTTCATGCTTATTGTTATTCTGTGTTTGAGTTTTATTTTTGTTAATTGATCACGAATCCTACCTTGCCTTTATAGTCATTATGATATTGTGTTTATTAATTAGAAATGTCATGTAACTCACGAATCCTAGTCGCTAGTAGTTAATGAGGTTTACAGTATTTATTTAATTATTATGTACACAGGTGTTTATGTTATTACAATATTTCAACATTCTTCTGTGTTTTAATCATGTCATTATTTACCTCAATCATGATAATAACTTTGGTTAGATTGAACATACGTAGAGGATATAAAGTTAACATAATCTTGCCCAGTGAGCACAATACAGAGGTAAACATATCAATAATGTTATCTTTAATTACCCATAAACCTGTCTGGTCTTACTTTGATGTTTCTCGACGTCTTCCTCCATATGTACTGTACTTTCCTTCTCACTCATTCATTACATTATGTCTTCCTCTACCTTCTACTTTCCTGTCTTCCTCTACCTTCTACTTTCCTGTCTTCCTCTACCTTCTACTTTCCTTCTTCCTCTACCTTCTACTTTCCTGTCTTCCTCTACCTTCTACTTTCCTGTCTTCCTCTACCTTCTACTTTCCTGTCTTCCTCTACCTTCTACTTTCCTGTCTTCCTCTACCTTCTACTTTCCCATCTTCCTCTACCTTCTACTTTCCTATCTTCCTCTACCTTCTACTTTCCTATCTTCCTCTACCTTCTACTTTCCTGTCTTCCTCTACCTTCTACTTTCCCATCTTCCTCTACCTTCTACTTTCCTGTCTTCCTCTACCTTCTACTTTCCTGTCTTCCTCTACCTTCTACTTTCCTGTCTTCCTCTACCTTCTACTTTCCTGTCCTCCTCTACCTTCTACTTTCCTGTCTTCCTCTACCTTCTACTTTCCTATCTTCCTCTACCTTCTACTTTCCTGTCTTCCTCTACCTTCTACTTTCCTGTCTTCCTCTACCTTCTACTTTCCCATCTTCCTCTACCTTCTACTTTCCTATCTTCCTCTACCTTCTACTTTCCTGTCTTCCTCTACCTTCTCTACTTTTCCTCCCATCTTCTCCCCACCTCTCTCTACTCTCCCCTGTCTTCCCCACCTCTACTCTCCCTGTCTTCCCTCTCACCTTCTACTTTCCTGTCTTCCCTCTACCTTCTACTTCTCCTGTCTTCCCTACTTTCTACCTTTCCTCATCTTCCTCTCTACCTCTACTCTTCCTGTCTCTCTACCTTCTACTTTCTCTGTCTTCCTCACCCTTTCACTTTCCTCTGTCCCTCCCCCTCTACCTCTACTTTCCTGTCTTCCTCTACCTTCTACTTTCCTGTCTTCCCTCTCACTCTCTACTCTCCCATCTTCCTCTACCTCACTTCCTCTGTCTTCCCTCTACCTTCTACTCTCTTTCCTATCTTCCTCTACCTTCTACTTTCCTGTCTTCCCCCACCTTCTACTTTCCCTATCTTCCTCACCTCTACTCTCCCTGTCTTCCCCTACCTTCACTTTCCTATCTTCCCCCACCTTCACTTTCCCTGTCTTCCTCTCACCTTCTACTCTCTCTCCTGTCTCCTCTCACCTTCTACTTTCTCTGTCTTCCTCCACCTTCACTCTCTCCTGTCTTCCCCCACCTCTACTTTCTCCTGTCCTCTACCTTCTACTTTCCTATCTCTCCCCTACCTCCACTTTCCTGTCTTCCTCTACCTCTCTACTCTCTCCTGTCTTCCCCACCTTCTCCTCCATCTTCCCCCTCCTCTCTACTTTCCCCATCTTCCTCTCCTTCTACTTCTCCTGTCTTCCCTCTCATTTCTCTCCACTCTCTCCTGTCTTCCCCCACCTCTCTACTCTCTCCCCTGTCTTCCTCTCACCTTCCACTCTTCCCATCTTCCCCACCTCTACTTTCCCATCTTCCCTCTACCTTCACTTTCCCATCTTCCTCTACCTTCTACTTTCCTGTCTTCCTCTACCTTCTACTTTCCTGTCTTCCTCTACCTTCTACTTTCCTGTCTTCCTCTACCTTCTACTTTCCTGTCTTCCTCTACCTTCTACTTTCCTGTCCTCCTCTACCTTCTACTTTCCTGTCTTCCTCTACCTTCTACTTTCCTATCTTCCTCTACCTTCTACTTTCCTGTCTTCCTCTACCTTCTACTTTCCTGTCTTCCTCTACCTTCTACTTTCCCATCTTCCTCTACCTTCTACTTTCCTATCTTCCTCTACCTTCTACTTTCCTGTCTTCCTCTACCTTCTACTTTCTTTTCTTCCTCCCACCTTCTACTTTCCTGTCTTCCTCTACCTTCTACTTTCCTATCTTCCCTCTACCTTCTACTTTCCTATCTTCCTCTACCTTCTACTTTCCTGTCTTCCTCTACCTTCTACTTCCCTGTCTTCCTCTACCCTTCTACTTTCTGTCTTCCTCTACCTTCTCTTTCCCATCTTCCTCTACCTTCTACTTTCCCACCTTCCTCCTTCTACTTTCCTGTCTTCCTCTACCTTCTACTTTCCTGTCTTCCTCTACCTTCTACTTTCCTGTCCTCCCTCTACCTTCTACTTTCTGTCTTCCTCTACCTTCTACTTTCCTGTCTTCCTCTACCTTCTTTCCTGTCTTCCCTCTACCTTTCTTTCCTTTCTTCCTCTACCTTCTACTTTCCTGTCTTCCTCTACCTTCTACTTTCCTATCTTCCTCTACCTTCTACTTTCCTATCTTCCTCTACCTTCTACTTTCCTATCTTCCTCTACCTTCTACTTTCCTGTCTTCCTCTACCTTCTACTTTCCTGTCTTCCTCTACCTTCTACTTTCCCATCTTCCTCTACCTTCTACTTTCCCACCTTCCTCTACCTTCTACTTTCCTGTCTTCCTCTACCTTCTACTTTCCTGCCTTCCTCTACCTTCTACTTTCCTGTCCTCCTCTACCTTCTACTTTCCTGTCCTCCTCTACCTTCTACTTTCCTGTCTTCCTCTACCTTCTACTTTCCTGTCTTCCTCTTCTCCACCCTTTACTGTTTCCCCCTCTCTCTACACTCGCTGGCTCACCCCAAAACGTTCCCATAGTTTACCCACGAGACGTAAACTATATGATCGACACGTTTATTGATATGATTTTAGCTTTATGATGGAACAACATTTAGCTGAGGTGCAGTTGGCAGGGTCTCAGGTTAAGAGGACCTGGTCATGGATGGTCGCCAGAGAGACGGAAAATTTCCCTCTGTCGTAACTTATACTGTTGGCAAGGTATCAAATTACTCTTTATTGAGACTGTGTGAAGGTCTTCTTCTTCTTCTTCTTCTTCTTCATATATGACAAACCATATGCAACGGAAACCGCATATAAGTATATAACAGAAACCGGATATAGCGGAAACTGGATATAACAAACCGGATATAACGGACATCAGATATAATGGACACCGGTTCACAAGACTACTGTAGGTGACAGGAGGCCAAGAGCTGAAACTTTATGAGAGTCAAAGTAAGGAAGGTAGATGAGAGAGAGAGAGAGAGAGAGAGAGAGAGAGAGAGAGAGAGAGAGAGAGAGAGAGAGAGTACTATTATTTTCTTCATTCTGTTGGATATTTTGATAAACATTATATAACCCTCCTTTATATATTTAGAACCAAACCTAACCAAACCTAACCTAACCAAACCTAACCAAAAGCACTACGTAATGTTTACTCTACATCATGTAAATAATCTTGTAGTGTGAATTAATGACAGATAAATGAAATCAATATGGCTTTGTTAGTGAGTAAACCAATGGAGTTTCTGTGTTATTGGTCTATGGGGAAAATTTTAGGAAGACGAAGATGAAGAGCAGGAAGAGTGGGGAGAAGAGGAGGGAGGGAGGGAAAAAGAAGAAGAGGAAAGAAGGGATAAGAGTGTGAGAAGAGTAAGTAGAGAGTGTGACGAGGAGAGCTGAACGAAGTAGGTGAGGAGACTTGAAGACGTGAGGGAGTGTGAGAGATAGTGAGTTAGGATGATAATTAATATAGTGAACAATAATTAATTAATGAAAACAACAAATATAAATAATTAATGACTCAGGTAAATAGTAAACTGATAGTAATTTATACCTGCGTGTGCGTGTGTGTGTGTGTGTGTGTGTGTGTGTGTGTGTGTGTGTGTGTGTGGGTGTCGCCACATAAAGGGTGGTGAAATGCGTCTAGAGTGGCAGCAATATGTGATTGTTAAGGTGGAAGCATTGCTTGCTCCCTCTCGCTTTCAGCTGCCGCCACAGGCTAGCCCTCGTGGCCAACAGGGAAGCAACTTGCCTAAGTTCTTCCCCTGCCAGTCCACAGCCTCCTCGCCATCAAGACTCCTGCTGTGCCTCCTCGTGGCAACACACGGTAACTGGGTGCCTCGTGGGCCCAGACGAGACAAGCAGGGGATCTCGGAATAGCAGTGGGCCCCAGAGGGACGGCGCATAGGCCCACTGGCATGTAGACACGTCCTGCCGCCTACCAACCATCGCCCCGCTGCCTTGCGGATTAACCTTGGGAGGTATAAGGCTACGGGAGTAAACCCCGAGCGCAAAATCTTCCGGTGGAGCCACGCATCAGGCAGACATGCTTACAGAGCTCCAACAAGACCCCAGTGGCAGTGTAGGTGGAAGAGGTGACCACCATGGAAACCCAACGACTACACCGGCGGACATAGGCATTGCCTGATGGACAGGTTACTAAGGAGAATCCCAACAAACTAGGCTATCGGCAGTCCATTGCGACTCTCCCTCTCCCCAGTCGTTGCAAAACTTGGATCAGAAAAAGGGAGAGCCAAGATGTGTGGTTGCAGTCTGCGCTCTTGCCTCACCACATAAATCATCTCACGCGCAGCCATCAACTAGTTCATCATACCTCACATCATCATCATCAAAAACCCTATACCCGCCAAAAGTTCTATGGCTACGGACGAGTGGCGACGGGGACAGGCAGAGATGACTGCCAGGAGTCTCTAGTCACATTTATGCACATGGGCAGCACAGATAAAAAGGTCGTTTATGCACTGGGATCTGGGCAGCAGTGCAATCCGGTTCTGTCTGTGCGAGTGAGCAGCTCTTTTGCAAAGCCACTTTGGGGAGGGGTCTAGAAAAGGTGTCCTAAACATAGCCTGCCTAAATACCCAACCTGACTGGGCAACTGCAACCAATAAGGTCATCCTTATGCGATCGAAAACACAACGAAAATCACAGATCCAAACAAAAACAAGCCATACAACCTCTTAGGTCGCTGC